TCTAAAATAAAATAAAAATAAAAATTATTACTACCACTATTATTTTATTATTATTATTATTATTATTATTATTATTATTATTATGACGATTGGTGATGAAACTTACCGGAACATCAATATGAACAGTGGTAATACGATCTTCACCACAATCAAATAAAAAATCTTTATTTTTGTACCATTCTTCTTTGACTGTCTCGCCAACAACCTTAACATCGTCAAGTTCTTTTTTTGTTTTATTGGCAAGTATATGAAGTTTATGAGTGATGGCAACCTTAATTCCCTGAACCTATTTCGTATAATCCAAATATATTATAATTGAGTATGCGTATAAAATGAATTCGATATATATAATATAGATATAGACATACTCTTCTTTTAGTTTCGTTTTTTACTCTGATTTGTACACTGATATTGGCACCAACAATGACAAAATGACAACAATTCACTATTAGAATTGTACATCAATCTAACATTTACACGCATTGGAGTTAAATATTTTGGCATTTTATTATTTACATTTATTGTTATTTGTTTATTTGTATAAATATATGTTTGACTTATAATTATAATTCGTATTATCATTTGTAAACAATCCACATACATCTCGAATCAGAGATATTAATAATATCTGGGTTTCTTTCTTTTGATTAAGCTTACAACCATTTCGTAACGTTTAATTATTGTTGCAATTTTCATTTTTCTTTGACCATTATTTCACAATCCCTCAACTTTTTACAATCTAAAAATAACTAAAGATAGAACTAACTTCATAGTCGTCGTATTGAGCTTTCTGAACTTTAAGCAATGTGATCATTTGTGACAGGAGAATATTTTTTTGTACTCTCTCCCCCCTCTTATTATATTTACTTAATGTTATTTACATGGATAGTAACACAAAGGAGTACGATTTTTTGATTTAAATTTAAATTTAAATGACTTCAAAAAAACTGTTTCTTTCAAAATTTGAAATTAAATAAAAAAAATGACCACGTTATTTGATCAATCGATTTCGTCATTCCAACAAAACGATCAAAACTATAACATCAACCATAATAATAGTAACAATAATAGTGATGATATTGGTGGTATTGGTGCTAATTCTGTTATCTCCCCGACTGCAATCTCAAATTATTCCTTGCTTCCTCCAGATCAAGCAAACATTAACTTCAAACCTACAACAACCGCCCTTGGAAAAATATCTAAATTAAAAATACATGTTTTATTGGATTCTACCGTTTATACTGCTGGTACAAACTTATCCGGTAGACTGGTTGTATCAAGTTTGTCTTCACGTTCATTGAAATTAGGTGAAATTTCAGTTGAATTGACAGCCTATGAAGGTAGATATACACATACACTATTGTTATATTTTAGAA